AACTTTTTCATTGAAAAGAGGTTTTGAGACTATTTGAAATGTTTCCTCAGAATTATTTCTATTCTTTTCATTTATTTTTTTGTTTTGTTTTATTTTATTAATTCATTTCTTTTTAAATTGCATCTTCCAGATCAGATTCTCCTCACTTCTGGGGACGAGTTTTCCTCTGGAGTGAGGAGGAAAAACACATTTTTATTAAAACCCTTAACTTCTGGATTGCATGTGTTTCTAATTTCCTTTCACAAAGCAGGTTCTTTGATTGCAAAGATTATAAAACCAGATTCCCTACATATAGGCCTAATCATACATAAATTCTATAGTTTATCTCAAAAGAAAAGACAAAGTTGATTTGGCATTTAGTCACTCTTTAAATTTATCTCCAGTTGTTCTCAACAGGTGAAACCAAATGGCCTAAACACAAGATCCAGAAACATAAAAAGCAACTTCAGCCTGATTTTCTGTTTCTTCTCCAGCACTTTCTGGTTTGTTCGACTCTCAGAGTCAGACGTGTCTCTGCAGCCCTCAGCCGCCTCTGTCCTCCTCTGGATCAGAGGCGTCTCTCCAGCCCCCCGGCCAGCCTCTGTGGCGTAAGTCTTAGAAATATCATCATTTTTATAATATTGCACCAGAAGTTCAATAGATATCCAAACAGCAGAGTGTTTAGGAGGTTAGAGAAGCTTCTATCTGGAATAAATGCAGAGTATGAGGCAGTGACAGAGTGGTTATGTTTTTAACTTTTTCTTCACAAATTAAGTCTAAAAATGTATTTGGCCACATTAACTCTGATGCTTCCAAATAAAATCCACTGCTGGAAGCTCCGTCCTAATGGCTCCTTCTGCATAAACTGAGAGGTTCTGTTAAAACCTTTAATTATTCATTATAAACGATCAATGGAGGACAGCAGGCAGGGTTGGTTATTAAAGCCTCTCCTAAGCGCCAAGCAACTCAAAGACTTTAGTCCTTCTGGAGATTGAAGGAGTTTTGCTGCCTCTGCAAAGATTAGGCCGTCTGAACTGATAAACGTGGGAGAATCTTTCGACGGAAAGGTTCTGTTTTTTTGCTCCACCTTATGGGACATTTGAAGAACAAAACCACTGTTGGATAAAAGCTTTAAGAAGCAAGTTTAAAGCCCTTTGGAGAACCCTCTTGGCCTCATAGAAAACCCTTCATCCTTTCTGAACCTTCCCTTTGAAACACGGTGGTGGCTGCATCATCCTGTGGGGACCCTGTGGTTCAGATTAGACGGCAAAGCGGCTCAGATTTGTTAATATGAGGGACGGATGGATGGAGCTGAGAAGAGAGAAGCAAGGCTATTAGAAGCTGCAGAAGTCTTCAAAGCTAACAGGTTGTGAGCTAACAGGAGGCTTCAGAACGGCCTAGTCAAAGCCCAGACCTACAGTTTCAGAAATGCCCTCTGCAAAAACAATCTAAACATAAGTTAAATAGGTGTATTCACCTTTAATTTTAGTAGGAAAATAAGACGATCAATGGAATGAGTATTTTCACACTAAAAATTAAATTATTAGATATTATGGACTTAAGAGCAAAGCAGTTGTTTTTCTTATTTCAAATGTATATTGTCTTATTCTTAATCAAATAGTTTCACTTACCTGCTTAATTCAAGAAAAAAATAAACGTATTTAAAGAAAAAAATGACTTATTTAGATTTACATTTACTGCAGTTAGATCCCGTTTATGGAAACTTTGATTCTTTTATGTAAGAAAAGAAAACCAAACTCAGTCTGCAGCCCAACAATCTGAGCTCAGTTTCATCAGAAACAAAAAGATTCAAGGAGTCCATCCCTTTTACGTCTGACTCACTTTTTCCTCCTGCTTCGTTTTAGGGACATGTTCATCTTTCAATCTCTGACAAAGGTCTTTACTCTGCTTTCATTTCTGTGCATCTAATCGAGCAGTTATAAAGGAATATGACTGGAGTTCCTGTCACGGTTAATGTTGCATTAAAGGACCAGTGTAAGTCATGGTATAGTGTGTTTTTGTTACAGGGAAAGATGTAAAGCTAAAGTCTTCAACAGGGGGTCAGCGACCCCTAGGGGTTCCACAGAGGTACTGCATGGGGGTCACGAAAGTTTTGGTTGATTAGACTTTTTTTTATATTCCCCCCCCCCTGCAGTTTTTTCCACTAATTGAAATGTCTTTAAATCCACATTAACATGAATCCAACAGACTGAAGTAAACAGATAAATGGAGCAGAAGATGTCTTTCAGTCATCAATGCAGACATTCAGCGACACACAGGAGCTCTTTCAAGCTGGGCACCGTTTCATTCACAACACCTGTCCCATCAACCAGGAATCAGAAATACTTTAATAATCCCAGAGAGAAATTACTTTAGTTACATTACTCCATCTGTAATAGAGTGACGATAGGACCAGTTTGATAGAACACTATTTCATAATATATATTTCAAACGAGGGGGTCCCCGCTTCATCAGTTTTAGGGTCCTTGTCCTGGAAAAAATTGAAGACCCCCGATGTAAAGCATAAAATGTTCACTTTAGGTATCATGAACAAATACAACACGGATGTGATTTTCACCACATTAAAAAGTAGAAATGCTGCATGTAGAAAAAGCAAAGCAGACATTAAAACAGTAGAACAAAGATGGCTGGATGGAGGAGGAGGTGTTTTAGTTTCTATAATGACGTGGTTCCTCCTCTGTATCTCCATCAGTTTTGGGTCTGAGCGTGTTGATAATGAGATGCGATTGTGGTAGCCGTCCTCACCCAGCTGCCCTCCAGCCTTCATGCGGGCTGGGCGACACGGCCAATGTCTCGCTCAAACATTTCCATCATTCTGGAAAAAATAAAAACCTGTTTAATTTGGTTTCTTCTTTTGAGAGTACAGTGGTTGAAACATGTTCCTTAGTGATGGACTTGAATGATGGAGTTAATTTCTTTTTTTTTTTTACCCTTAGGCCATTAAATGTTTTTAGGTGGGGGATATTTGCCTGTGTGTGTATGAATCAACATTCAGTCGTTGCATAATGCCATGTCTGGAAAAACATGCTAAATTTCAGAATGCTGCTTTGCTGTGAAATAATAATAAATAACAATGGAGATATGAGTCTAGATCAGGAAGTTTCTGCCTGTTCAGGAGCATTTGGATCTAATTTGTCATAAAAAAAAAACATGTTAGGCTATCACACTTTTATCCCAGTCATTTTCACTGATGTCACCTCACAAAAGCAGGAGGCTATTAAAGGTATAGTCCAGGATGTTCTTTACCGGGTGGATCATCTAAATAAGTGGTCCTCCTAATTGTCAATCGTTCTGGTGATATGTTTATGTAAGGCCGTCCAATGTGCTCGTCCACATTTTCACTTACTAGAAGTGAGTCTGACATGGTGGAAAAAATTCTAATCTTATCTTGGAAAGTAAGCTATGAGTGATGCAAACAGCAACTTTTAAACAGAGCGTGCTTGAGGAGAAATGGGCTCGTGCTTGAGGAGAAATGGGCTCATGCATGAGGAGAAATGGGCTCGTGCATGAGGAGAAATGGGCTCGTGCTTGAGGAGAAATGGGCTCCACACCCTCACACATGTTTAATAGGCGTTGCCTCCTGGAAGCGGGTACAGGGTTGTGCATGTACTTTATTTTTTTAAGTGGAGAGGGCGGGTCATTCCGTGATGGGTTTTTGGCTGGTCCCCTAAAATTTCTTCTTTTGAACATGAATCTTTGTACTAAAACATTCTTTCTGTCATGATTTGTGGACGTTAAGCTCTAAAGAGAAGCATCTTCTCCTGGTCAGACCCTGTAATACAGGGAAAGGGTGGAGTCAGAGTAAAAAACCATGCATGCCCAGGAGGAGCAGGGGGTGACTCCAGTGGCTGTGAGTTGGCTGCCGTTGGACAGGGAAGGGTCATTTTGAATGGCTGCTACTGTATAACGCCTGTGAGCGTCTGGGTTTGTTGAAACGGGTAAAATCAGTTCCATGGAAGCAGCTCGTTTACAGACATTTTTTCATACATTTGATCCTTAAACTATTTTAGAGTGTTGTGAGGATTGATAGGGGCTTACTTTTACCATCATCCCTCCTCATTAGCCATCTGTGTTTGTGTTTTTTATTTTTAAGAGTACATCTCTGTTGATAAAAAAAACCTCTTTGTTTTTGCTTTGTCTTTTCGGAGAAGATGGCAGCATCCCTTCCAGCGCCGTTTCCAGTGCGGGACCCTCGTCACCAACCACAGACAGCTCCGGGATCGGCCTGAACTTCAGCTTCAGCGAGTAGCCCCGCCTCTGCCGCCGCTCGCAGGAGACGATGCCGTCCTCCTCCTCGGATTGTGGAGTGAAAACTGCTCTAAAGATAATTTTTTGGGACCCAGCAGAGCTACTTTCAGACACTGTGCCTTTCCTACGTTTTTTCACTCATCAGTTTTCCCCAGAGGCTGAAGGAACCTCCTGCTGTTTAGAAACACACAGACCGGACCGATATTTTACACATTCAGTTAGTTTATGCTAAACTTCACCTGTTTGTTGGTTTCTAGGCGTTTTTTAACAGCTGCTTTCAGAACAAGAATTAGTCATTTTATTGTGGATTTATGGCAGATTCTTCCTCCATTTTTATTCGATTTATTTTAATGGTGTGAATTAATAGAGGTTTTTATGAAGCAGCCTTCTGCCCCCATTTGAAAGGCCGATGGTATTTTTCATTTTCTTTAGGCCTGTAGCTGTAAGTAGTTTCTTCATATCGACCAAAAAGTTGTAGATCTTGATTTAACTGCAGCTTCTGGTTTCGTCTCTAATTCTCACAGCAGGCGGATCAGTCAGTGTGTCCATGTGCCTTTAACTACTTCCATAAAAAAACTTCTGCCACAGAAGGAAGCAGTGCTTAATCTGAAGGAAGAAATGAGGACTAGTTCATCTGTATGCTGCCTTTATCTGCTGTCCTGCCAAATCAAACCAATGTCTTTGCCTTTAAATTATCTGCATAGCTGCTTTCTAAACATGCTCAGGTAAAGAAGGAACCAAACAGGTTTTCTCAGCATTTTGCTGAACTGGGGGTCGGGTTAGTTTCCTTTACTTTATGCTGGTAAACATTCAGTCATGGCTTTATTTCTTATATGACCTCTTTGGATTGTTTTGCTTTATGATTCATCTGATCTTTTCAGTAGGTCTTTCTGTAGAGCTGCAGGGTAATGTCGCCCTCTGTTTGTTGCTTGTTGTGGATTCACTCTTAGACCAAAAAGTAACAATAGTTCATTTCTTTGAGAAGCAAATCTAAAGAGGACTGACAGCAGTCTGTGCTGCGCTGCAGTAGCGAGGCGCTGCCTGTTTTATGTTAATGCCGTTAGTCCGATGAACTGGTCGGATCTGGCTTGTTCCGTGTTGTTTCGCCCTTTAATAGCAGATAGCGGTTGAAGACACTCTGCTTGGTTGGAAAAACTGTAAAACAGGTCTAACCTGTGCAAACAGGGTGGAGAATTAGCCAAAACTTTTTGTTGATGTGGTTTAAACTTTGATTTCTTCAGCAGTCTATCTGTTGTCGTCTGCTCCTTGAACCCATTAGCTTTACTCTCTGGTTTCTAACCGAGCTTGGCTGCAGCGTAGACCTCGTCAGTTAGTCCCTGTTGTCTAAACTGAACCCCCAGAACCTGGAAAACAATCTGCTGTAGAGGAACCTTTTTGTTTTAGATTTCTGTTCATTTTTGTCTGTTTTGCATTTCTGAATTGTTCAAACAATAATATGTCAGCCAAAGATGTTTCTGTGTCCTGAGATGTGATTTGCTTCAGAGAAGCAGAGTGAAGCTGTATAAATCTCTAAAACTGTCTGAAACTGTTGATGTTCAGGTCAGGTTGTGATGTTTGGAAGATAAAGTGCTGATAATAAAGAGCTGTATATCAAATAAACAGTTAACCTGCTGTTTGTGTGGTCCATATTGCAGCAGACCAAATGTTAACAGCCCTGTTATGTTCTGTTCTGGGCTTTTAACAGCGATCAATGGTCCAGACACATCGGCCTGTTATTGCTTTATTAAAAAAAGCTCAGACACATATTTTCTTCCGTTTAAATACTTTTTCTTGATTTTGCTTTACTCTAACCCTGTTCTCCTGCTTGTTTTACTTCACCTGAGTTATTGTTTTCCATTTCATTCCACTCTGAATCGTCCATCTCTAATTTTGGTTCAATTCTTTGCCTTTATATCTTCTCTTACTCCCTTTGATCATCATGGCCCAATCCCAAACCAGCCCCTTAACACTAACCCTGAGCACTAACCCTTCGTTTGCGTGTTCCTGCGGAAGGTCCGCCACGTTTAGTGCTATCCCAAACCACGTAGTGGGTTGGGCGAGTGGACCGTTCAGCTTTTAATTAGCGAGTCTTCAACAGTGCAGACTCGCTGGAATTCGGCAGCAGGTGTAACAATGACCTAATGGCAGAGGGAACAGGTTACTACAAATCTAAGTTCCACATGTTTGCTGCTTCTTCATCACACTGCCAGGAAATCACAGGTTAGGTATAAGGAAAAATTTAAGTGGAAGGTCCCCTTTGAAGCAGTTTTATTTGACCGTATGCATTTGTTTAAGAAAGGGGCAAATGTTTGATTTTATGTCTCCCTGCGCCACAGAGCTACAGCTCCAGCACGGGGCGTCACTTGGTTGCCATAGAAACACTGCTTTCCATTGGAATAAAGAAGCCATCCCATTCTGGTTTAGACTTAATAGGGAGTGACACTTTATAGTGAAGGGTTATTGCTTAGAGGGCGGTTTGGGGTTCAGCCTATATTGATTCAACACTAGATGGCCTCAGTGAGGGTTTAAGTCACTGATCTCTAGTTAATCACTGGATTGCTGATAGCTGATAGCCCGAAAAAAGCAGTCACCTGCGACCATCTTGGTACTCCCCACTCTCACAGAGACGTGCCATAAACATGCCTACATGTGCAGCATTTGGCTGGAACAACAAGCAGTTTTCTGGCAGTGGGAAGACATTTCACAGGTATTTTTACAGTCAATGGATGCACTAACCAAGAAACTCCATATATTTGACAATGTATCCTATAGTATAGGATTTAGCGTAACATTAGTCTGGCTATTTCAGACTGACTCGAGGACATGGACTGAGTTAGTGCTGGTGCCTATCTCCAGCTGTCTATGGGTGAGAGGTGGGTTCCACCCTGGACAGGTCTCCAGTCCATCTCAGGGCAACACAGAGACAAACAGGACAAACAACCAATTACACTCACACCTAAGGAGAATTAAGCCAATTAACCTAACAGTTCTTGTTTTTTTTTTTTTGGCTGGGACCAGGAAGCCGGAGCACCCAGAGAGAACCCACGCATGCTCAGGGAGAACATGCACCTTCTTGCTGCAAGGCAGCAGTGCTACCAACTGTGCCACTGAGCAGTCTTTTATTTATATTTATATATATATATTTATTGTCATTAACAGTCATGTCCTTTTAATTCAGTCTGATGTTGAATATTGAGATTATGTGTAATTTTGGTACATCTGTATCATTATGCTCCATTAACACATTCATTTTGATATGATGGAATTGTTACCAATATGTTATGTTACATGATTTATTCATAGACTTCATAATGAACATACAATGTGAAGTTTTTTTTACCTAACCACAGTAATCTACAGATGCTATCAAACAGCAAATCTGTGTCAAAGTGATGACTTCATCTTTAAGTCTTAAGCCCCCCTCAAAATGAGAAAATCATTGTTGTTTGATGCTGTAGAGCACGTATTGTTTACATTGCGACCTGTCTAACTAGGGAGTACCAATATGGCGGCCGATGGCTTCACCTTGTTCTACCAACAGGCTATCAGCAATCCAGTGATAAATAGAGATCAGTGGTTTGAAGCTTCTGTGAAGCTTTGAGAAATTTATGATGGCCAAGATGGGTGGAATTGATAACAAAAGACAATCTAAAGAGAGAAATTTAAACATTTTAAACAACGACTCTGAATTGGATACATTTTTATTACATGTCAGATGTGATGGCAAGCATAGGCGTTTTTTTTTATTTTTTATTGTAGTTATATTTGTGTCCCGATCCACACACTATCAAATTTATCATTGTAAAGTATGTCATCATAAAGACTCCAGGCCTCCTGTCTCCTCTCCGCTCCATTGTGGCCCAGAGGAGCTCCAGGATCAGGTGTTAAAACCCAGAGAGCAATGCAGAATCAGAACAAAACAATGGATTTTAAAACTGCTTTACTTTTAGTTTTTGTGTATTTCACCACTAGATGGCCTTCAGTGAGTTTATGAAGCTTTAACAAATGAACCTTTTTGCAACATCATTTAACCCTCACCACCACTAAACGTATAGACTACTAACTTTATTGATATGAATTTAATCCACATTCTTTTATTAATTCTGACCCAATAGCATCTTTGCCGTTCAGAATCAAAATAATTTATTATTAACATTGGGCTGTAGCAGTAGTTAAATACTGTCGTATGTGGGCCAGACTTAAATTTTAATGCAGGTTAGAACCCTAAACCAAATATGAATCAGTTGGTGCCTGTAAATCATCATTTTCTCTTTTTTGTTATCTCTTTTTCAACCATTAGTGTTCCTCTACCTGTTGCACATCATTTCCTATGGTTTTCTTTCTCCTTCTTTTCTTTCTGATTGTGTAAACTTTTTTCATTTCATTTCAGCCTTTAGTTTTGTTTCCTCTCTCTATTCAGAGTGAGCTTCCAAAAATCTTCCCTCACCATGTTCACCTCCTCCCTGCCCCTCCACCTTCCTCCTCCTTTCAAAATCTCCTTTAACAACAGTGATGACTCATGCCTTCCCCTGTTGCTCCTATGCGTTGCCATGGTGACACCCCCACATCTAACCAACTCCTCCTGAGGGACGGTGACTGAAAGGAGAGACGACTCACAGGAAGCCAAAAACCTGATGTCACTCTGTCTGGGAGACGAGACTTTATCTCCTCCACAAACACGAGGACAGAGATGAGTTTGTTCATTCAGCCTCTCTGAGTTCAGCTCAGCGGCTCTTTAATTCCCTTGAGAAGATGGCTGCTGTTTTCCAGCAGGTAGATTTGAAAAGCCTAATCAAGGAGCCCTCCTTTCTCACCAGAGTGGAGAGCACTTTGTTAACGCAGAACTAATTTTAAGAGGCTTATGAAAAGCTGATCAGATTTAACAACCACTGCAGGACAGGTGTCTGAGAGAAAAAAAAGTGGCTTACTAAAATGTGATTCATTTCCAAGTAATTTCTCATGCTTGAGGTATTAAGGTTCTTTTCCTCACTATTATCACTTTAAAGCAAGGTGGTGGCAGCATAATGCTATGGGAACATTCTTTTTCAGCAGCCTTTTTAATTTTTACTGTCCTGCAAATCAATTTTTACATTTTCGTTCATTTTATAGTTGTGAGTTTTATTCAGATGTTTTGAAAGGGGGTACTGATCCCTTTTTAAAATTGCAAACTTACATTTGGCTGATTGGAGCAACCCTGGAAGAAAACCTACCAATGGCTTCTAACGAGGGTTTAAGCATATTGACATGTTAGAATGGCCTAGTTCAAGTCCACTTAACATATTCCTTAGTTTATTGTTGAGCTGGTAAAAATCCAAGAAAATTGTAAATATTTTTCCATTTTAATGAAAAGGAAAAAATAATACATTTTGGTCGCCCCTCAACTGCTTTCAGCATCAGATTTTAACGTAACAAACTACTGTAGCATAAGCTCCTCCTCCAGCGTTTCCAGCTGAACATTCACCCATCTCCACCTCATCTCCCCCCTCACTGTCAGCCTATTCTCAGTCTTATTCCTCCTCCAGCTGATTCCACCACCAGTGTCTGGGCCTCCAGAGGAGGAAGTCTAATCCTTTTTCCTGAACTTTTTATCGGAATCATGTCAATTCTCAGCATCAAAGTCTTCTCTGAGCCCCAAACAACTAGTTTCATTAATGTCAATAAAATCTTTCTAATTGCAACTTTCCTCTGTGTGATTCTCTGAGTTACTTCTGCCAGGTTCAAGTTATTCTTGTGAACATTGTGGGTTTTCCTTTCACTAAAAACAAGATATACCAACAATTTAGTCCAGTTGTGTCCACCTTTGCATAATAAAATCACCAGAGCTTTACTCAAAACCACATGTAGAAAATGTTATAT